TTCTCTTTTGTCCCCTATTTAATATCTATAGGAAGCTCGGGAGAGGTTGTCCAGAGTTTTGGGGTTTGCTGTCCCCTCTATCTTTATTTTCCATAAAAATCCGAGGAAGCTATTTCAGTTCTAGATCAGTGTCTGATGTCAGCAATGGATTGGATGAGGGTGAATAAACTGAAACTTGATCTAGGCAAGACAGAGGAGCTCCTGTTCAGTCAAAAGCAGATAAAAATACAGGGATACAGTCTGTATTGAATGGGGGTATACTTCCTCTAAAAACACAAGTGCACAGCTCGGGTGAGCTTCTGGATTCATCTTTGAGCCTAGATGCACAGGTTTTGGCAGTGGCCAAAAATGCCTTTGCATAGTTAAAACTAGTGTGCCAGCTATGCCCATTCCTGGAGATGGGTTAGTTATATTCCAGATGGATTGTTGTAATGTACTGTATATGGGGCTGCTTTGGGAAAGTAATCGGAAACTTCAGCAGGTTCAAAACACTGCAGCCAGATTGTAAATGGGACTGGTTACAGGGATCCCAAAAACCACATTACAGGAGCTCCACTGGTTGCCAATCCATTTCCAGGCACAATTAAAAGTGCTGATTTTAAATTATAAAGCCCTAAACATCTTGGGTCCAAGCTATCTAAAAGACCACATCTCCACCTATGGGCCACCCTGGGTCTTAAGATAATCGGGGGGGGGGCTGTTCTCTCAATCCCACCACCCTCACAGCTACACTTGATGGGGACAGATGTGAGGGCCTTCTCTGTTGCTGTTCCAAAACTTTAAAACTCCCTTCTACAGGAGGCCAGGCTTGCCCCATGTTTGCTGTCCTTCACAAGCAGGCAAAGACTTTTCTCTTAAGGCAAGCTTTTCCTTAGTGGCTCTCCCGAAGACCGTAAGTGGGGTTGTATTTAATGTAAGCCGTTTTAGAGCCATATATTTTGTGTTATGATATAATGTAAAGCGCCCAGAGTGGCCTGGGTTGCCAGATGTGTGGTATAGAATTCTCCTGATCAGTTGGAATAGCTGAGAACATTTTATAACAATACTATACACCTTGGTAAGAAGCTAACACAACAAGAAGCAGGTTGAGGAGAAGCTGACCAGCAATTCTGATCCACTGTTTGCATATGATATTTGGATACTGTAATTAATGCCTTGAAATGTTCAGTTTCACCATCAGTGTCAAACCACCACAAGACACAGACAAATTCTGCACTCTCCTTTTTCATTCATTTTGCAAATAAGAAAAAAATCACTTCTACAAGAAGAATTAATAAAAAGCTTCATTTCAACAGAAAGAAAAAAATGGCTCAGCTGTCTCCCTTAACAAAGCAATCAATCAGAAATTCCAAGCTCTGCTCAGAAAGAGCTTCTGTGCTAAGAGAAGAGGAGGAGGCCTTCACACAGGAATTGACAAGGGAAGCTTATTTAGTATACCACAAACATCCTATTCTAGAAAAATGAATAGCTATTTTTCCTCAAAGAAGCCAAGCTGTCTGAGAAGCCATGTCCAGAAAAACAGGAAGAGACCCACTGCCCAAAATGCAACACTGGCTTACTTTCTATGATGGTTTATTTTAGTCTGCAGAGGAGATATCCAACAATGAATTAATTCTGTACTGCCAAAAAAAGGCAGAGGACCAACAATTCAAGAACACTTTATCATGTACTTATGTCCCCTTGGACTCTTGGTCTAGGAGTCACATATGAAGAAGAAAAAGTCACACTACATGAAAGAAACTCAACACTGAATCCTGAATATGGTTTCTCAGTAGCTGTCACACAGAACAAGAGAATTATTACAATAATCTGTAACGATACAGAAGGGAAACACCAAAGAGGGATAAAGAGATCTTTTTCATAAGAAATCAAAAAGAAATTTAAATTCAAATTAAGTACATTGCAAAATCAACAGGGGAATATGTTATCTGACTATGATAAAATAAAGAGAAGGTGGAAATAACACACTGAAGATATATACAAAAGAAATATAAGGATGGTAGATATATTTGAAGAAGAACCTGCAGTTTTAGAAAGTGAAGTGAAAGCTGCTCTCAAAGGACTTTGAAAGGGAAAAAAATAACCAGAAATGGGATAACAACAAAACTACTTCAAATTACAGTGACTGAATATGTCAAAATCCTAACAAGAACATGCCAGCAAATACAGAAAACAACTCAAGGGCCCACATACTGGAAACTTGCAATATACATTCCAATCACCAAGACAGAAAGGAATGCAGTAACTATAGGACCATTGCATTAATTTAACTTTAAACAGCTCCTAACAAAGTAAAAAGTGTAAAAGCAGGAATGCAATTAATCTTTTAGAGGGCAAAATAATTATTACAGGAGACCTACATAACTTTTATGTGGACAATGACAACACTGTCAGTCTGAATGTACTGTATATTGCAGTCAAGAAATCTGTAGAGGACTGAGACTCAGAAGGGCAGCAGTGAAAGAACTAGAAAAGATCTTCAAACGCAAGGATTTATCACTGGAGACCATGGCCAAAAACATCCACACTATTGTATTCTTGATTACTATTTATCAATGTGAACGTTAGAAAGTAAAGAACAAAGAAAACTGATTCATTCATAATATGGTGCTGGAAGAGAGTTCTGCGTATACTCTGGGGCTACCAGAAAGACAACCAAGTGAGCCCTAGAGCTAATCAAGTCTGAATTCTCCCTAGAAGCATAAATGACAAAACTGAGGCACATCATGAAAAGATAAGACTTGCTAAAAAACAAGGGCTAGAAAAAGATGAAAGCCGCAGGAAAAGTTGAAGACCAAATATGACATAGATTGACTCCATAAAGGAAGCCACAGACTTTAATTTGAAAGAGATCAGCAGAGCAGCAAACAATAGGATATTTTAGAGGTAATTAATTCATAGGGTCACATTATGCTAGAGGTGATCTGAAGCACATAACAACTGGCCACGTAAGCCAAACATTTGTCCACTGTCATCAGGAATCTGCATAAGATATTGGTGCCTAAGTCTGACTATAAAAGAATAAACTGGTTCCTTGTTGCAGCTGAAGAGTCCACAATCCCAGTTTCCATAAGGCAGCAGTGTTAATTTATCACAGCAAAATAACAGAGAATTGTGTTGTACTGTTGAGACTAAGAAATTTATTATAGGATGAGATCTCATTGAAACACAGCCTACTTTCTAAAATGCACAGACTAAAGATTTGGGGTTCCAGAAATGTCAAGCTACAATAAATAGCTTCTGAGAATGTGGGCTGTGTGCCAGAAGTATCACAAGACTGTATGTCACAATGCATAGCGATGCAACTAAGAAAGAGACTGGACACAGCAAAGCCATGTCAGAACAACCTACAGCCCCCTCCAAGAAATATACCTGTCTAAAGACTCTAAAGGGCAGTACTACGATCACCCGCCATGGCACTGTGACAGGAAATGATTTTTCAAGGTCTTTCCAATCTCACACAATTCAGTTCTGTTGAAGATATCCTGAGAGGCTTCAGGCCCAGAGCCTTAGGTTAGAGCTGGACAGACCAAAACAGATTAATACCAAGAGCACAGACTAAAATAAATCTATATGAGCTAGAGCCAGTGGTCTCTGCAGAACAAAGCCCCAGGAAAATAACTGGATGGGAATGGTTCCAGCTACCTTGGAAGGGCCAAGTAATAGGGAAGGAGATCAGGATGGCAGGGTTTCAAAGCCTGTTGAACAAAGAACAGCCTAGACGTTTGAGCCAGCATCACTAAGGCCAAAGAATCCTGGATTCACATCAAAAAAACTGGCTTCAACATCCCCAGAAGGCTTGCTCCGTAGCCCCAGCAACCAATCAGCCTACACAACCTTGACAAACTTCCATTTTACTTTCTTCAAGTATGTTTACACAGAAACATGGTTTTGCTAAAAGGACAGAGACAGGATATACATATGGTTAGTACGCACACACCCCTTCTGCTCCTTTCATTTTTTCTGAACTGGGACTGTTATCTTATTGAACAGCAGAATGCAAATAAAGGAAAGAATCCTAATTTCTGTTCGTTATTTCATCTTTCTGAAACTAGTTAAGCCCGGTGCAAGGAAGAAGGGCTTTTCTTAATTAGTTAGAAATGTAGGGTGTCAGAGAGGTCATGTCGTGGCTATCTTCAGCCTAGGTCTGATACAGAGCACCCAGTGGCTGCCAAACACTGCTTTAGTTTAGTAAAAATTACTCCGCTGCATGTTTGTACATAACATACAGAGTGTTGTCTCTATATAGCACTCCTCAGGCATCCAAGACAAGGTTAAAAAAAACCACAGGGTGTGTGGGACACACTAGCCCAATCCCCTCCACTGTTGATGATTACTTTAACCTCATTCTAAGACTGGAATGACATCTGAATCTTCCTTATAAAGTGTAGCACACCTCATCATGTTGCTTCTTCATCTTAGATAGCACTTCCCTGCTTCAGCATCTGAAAAGTGTAGTGCTGAAACATAAATATGTGAGGAGAAGCCTTGATGTTAGGAAGGTGTGATGGCAAGAGGAGAAGGGGACGACCGAGGATGAGATGGCTGGACAGTGTCTGCGAAGCAACCAACATGAACCTGACACAACTCCGGGAGGCAGTAGAAGACAGGAGGGCCTGGCGTGCTCTGGTCCATGGGGTCACGAAGAGTCGGACACGACTAAACGACTAAACACATGAAACATAAATATGTGAGGAGAAGCCACCACACCGTAAGATGTTACAGATTACAGCTGCAATGCTGGGAAATTACTTTATGTTGGACATCTACCAACCAACAGACCACGACTAGACAAGTCCTTAAACAACAAAAAGGCAACTATTTTTAAAGGAGTCCTACTTCTAAAGCGCAAGGAGAGGGGAGACAGACATTCAGAGTTCAACCTTCAATACAGTCAGAAGGAAATCATACCACGTCTAATATGCCTTATCTCTTGGTCAGTAAGCTTACAACTACAATTCTGGCTGTTCAGTTCCAAAACAAAGAGGATGTCTATATACCTGAATGTTCTCTCTGCTCCAAGTATGAGGGGTTTTATTTGCTAACAACTTTAAATCTTGGATAGCAAGCCTTTTTACAGCCTCTCTTGGGTCATTCTTCAAGTACTGGAGCAACAGCTGTATCTGTGAATTTAATATGGAATAGATTTTGATGACATTTCTCAACACACATGCAGTGCAAGCAATCAAGAAAAAAAAACCTATGCATGTACATTTGAAAAAACTACATGTACAATCAATACGCAGAATGTTATACAATTCTGAGAGCTCCAGAGCATTTCCATGCTATAATATCATCTTTATTAATGTCTCAAATGGACATTATAGTTATTACGCACGCAGGGCTCTGTATGTTCCTCAATCTTGTGCATGCGCAAGAAAAAAACACAAAGTGGAGCCTGCTTTTGCTTTACCTTTGAAGACGTTTTTTAAAAAGCAACTTACTAGCCCTTATAGCTGCTAAAATATACCTGAAACATGTCTAGATAATGATTATAAGGAAGCTTCTGAGGTTTTGTGTCTGTGTTTCTTTTATGTCTTAATTTAATCACGATAAATTATCTCACTGTGTATTTTCATATATAGGGGTGTACTCACATGTGTGTAGGCACATAGACAGACAAACACAGATAGACAGATACAGACATACATACATTGGTATTTTTGACAGGCTTTACCTGTTTGGGAATATCAACCAGAGAAGAGGCTGCAAGCAAGGTAAAAGTGTGCAAAGTAACAATGACCATCTTGGTGGAAGGGTAGGAAGTCACCAGTTGTTGGAGTAGCTGGCATGCGCTGGAAGCCAGGCTGGCATCATGATGCATGTGCTGCAGGATAGGGATCAACTTAAGCTTCAAGTCTACTGGAGTAGCTAAACCTAGTATATGAAAGGAAAAGTAAACTCTTAGGTTAGTAAATCAACCAGGATTAAAATAAAAACAGGTATAGTGGCCATGTAATGTGTTAATCAGAAAACCACATATTTTATGGGGAAGGCAGAACTTTTTCAACAAGCATTCAGCTATAGTTGTACAGTATACTGCTTTTAAGTGTAGTAATTCTGTAACAAGCAAGACTGTAGTTGCTTAATAATGGCCACACAGACAGCATCTACTATGTTCAGTCGCATAAAGCAATAGGCACACACCTTGAACACTTGTAATCTGATCTTTTGTATGCTAAGAAGTCCAATGAGTTCAAATGGACTTACTCCAAAATGTGTACAAAATTGCAGCTCCGGTCAAAGACTAAGTTTATTCACAATTAGCAGCAGTATGGTTTTGCAGAAATATGGAAGCACCCGGCTGTTTAATTACTCCTTTCTGTTCACTTCCAGGTAACAAAAATTGGAATATTCCAGGAGTTTCAATACACAGCCATCTAGCCACTATTTGTAAGTTAACTTTCTCTTTCTATGAATCTAATGGAAAGACCGACTACTCATATGGATACTTGTCTGTGACACCACAGACTGGGTGTTTGGTTCCCCACTGTGCCTCCTGGGAGAAGAGTCAGCCTGCAAAGCCTTGGGCAAGCTGCACACCAAGGCAGACCAAGAAGAGAACTGTAAACCACTTCTGAGTACTCTCTACCTAGAAAACCATGGCAAAAGTTGCTGTAAGGTTTTGTTGCTAAAAGAAAGAAAGTGAGAAAGTACAAATGCAAAGTTTCCTCATTCACAAAAAGCCCAAAGCAATCTGCCAAGTTCATATACTGGGCCAGTTCACAGGATATAACAAGCTGTGGATTACCATTAAAGAACAGGATGTGGCAAGCCTTGGGCTTGTTTGCCACCCCAACATGGCCACAAGAGGATTATTAAAAGAAAAAGGGCCTTCTCAGTGGATACTCATAGGCTCTGGAATGGACTGCTCTATGAAGTTAGGGTAGCCCCCGCCCTCTTGTCCTTCTGTCCTCAGGCAAAGACCTTCCTTTTCAGAAAAGCTTTTAAGCAAGAAGTGGGAGTCTCAGGAATGCTATATTTATTGAATCTAGAGAACTTTACTTTTTAAAAAAATGTTTTAGAACTGTTTTTATTGTTATTTTAAAATTGGCAGATGTTTAATTGATTTTTTATACAGTTTTACAGCACTTTAAAATCTGATTATTGCATAGTCTTAATTCTTTCATCTTCTATGGGAAGAAAGGCAGCACATAAATAATATACACAAATAGTAATATAAATAAAAAAGAAATACATTGGAATGGTTCAGTTTTTTATTAAATGTGATTTAATAAAAAATCTCGCATTTGTAAATGTAAATTTGAAAATTTAAAATACAGAACTCACCTTCAAACATACAACTTCAGAAAAACGCGACACAAAATGAGAAGGAAATCTAGCCTTATGAGAAAAAACACTGGCAGAGAGAAATGGATGCACTAGATCTTAAGACTGCACTTCAAATTCACAGGTACTTTTAAAATTCTAGCCAATGTCCCAAAATATTTTAACAACAACAACAAAAATATACATTGAAGTTTAAACAGTGAGTTCCAGAGCTGTTTTACTGCCAATTAAAATATACATACCTTGAATCATTTCACTTATTTTGTTACATATCCCTCCAGCAAAATCTCTGTCAAGCATGAAGAAGAAGAAATTGTGATAGAATTGAGTGAATTGCAAAGACTGGCAGTCTGACACTATTTTCTAACTCACTGTTACCTTTGACATTCACTGAAAGACTGAAGCTTGTTCACACCTTTTGCTACTGCCATTGTAAAACAACTAGCTGGCAAGAGCACAACAGAAAGAGCAAGCAATCCTAAGCAAAACAAAGTAGGAGAACCAAAGCAAGAGCTAAGTGCTGCCTTCAGCAATTGTGTGAATTAGATCTCTATACTGTACTGTACAGTACCTTCCTTTGGGCAACTAGCATGGACTACACTGAGCAACTATGCCAAGTAGAATCCATAGGCTTAAAAACACACTACAGATGGGCATGAACCTCAGTTTGTTAGCATGGACTACACTGAGCAACTATGCCAGGTAGAATCCATAGGCTTAAAACACACACCACAGATGGGCATGAACCTCAGTTTGGAGGTTCATTTCATGTCGTATGCATAGCACCACAGGGGCCACACATTCCCTGGCCAATGACCCACACATCAGTTAGAGTGCACTCCCCTCCCCCTCCTCTTCAGCTGTTCAACCAGTCCTTGGCTGGAGAATGGGTTTGATTATCCTGACTCCTTGCCTGAGTGGGTAATCAGCCAAGGAGGTGGGGCAGGGAAGCCTGTGCTCCTGCTGGAGACTGTCAAACAGCTGAAGAGGAGGAGAGGAGCAGAACACAGGGATCAAGCCGGGGAAGGGAACACCTGGCACCACCGACTTTCATGCCTATCTCTAAACCCCAGACAACTACATAATTAATATTGTCATTACCTTCACATATACTGGGCCTCTCGAGGGGCAGGTCAGAGAATGTAAAGCCCTCAGAGAACACTTAAGTTAAGCTATGTATCTTCATCAATTCAGCATAGTTAAATGAGCATTAATATCACACCATTTTGGTTTCTTAATGTTTAAAAAATTCTAAAAAGCCTCATTAGAAGAGCAAAGTCAATATGGACTACACATGTAACTACTGTAGCTGTTTTAGTTAAGAGCCTGACAGGCATTCTTATACCATGTGCTCTCATAACTGATGAGAGAATGCCAACTTTCAATTTAAAATGACAATCTGAAGAGGGTTGGGTAGCAGGATCCATGCAGGCTCCTCCTGGAAAGCTAGAGCATACATGTAGAGCCTATACAGGTACAACAGCTGCCTCCTCTTCAGACTGTGATTTTCAGATGTTAAAAGTGATGGTTGAGAGGGTCACAGGCAAGCGAATTTCCATCACTGTCTCTGTGATCCACATGTGTTAATGCCTGAGCGGACTTGTGTTATTCCTGCTCACTAACCTGGAAGTCCCACTAATATTGCATTATTTGTTTTATAGATAATCCAAATCCTTGGGTAATAGTCTGCTGCTTTCTCTAAGTTACGATTTATTTATTATTTAAATAAACAAATATCACCTAACAGTTTAGGTAACTTTTACTTAAAATAACAAACTCTTTTTGCTGAGGACATTTTGCTGAGGAGTTTGTTTTTGTTGGGATTTTTTTTGTCCCCCCCCCCCCGCATGGCCTAGGAGGTGGGGCTTTCCTCCTTAAATAAGGGTGTGCCAGGACCGTGTGCCCTTAGTCAAATTCTCTGACTCTATCTCTGACCCTAATATGGTAAACAGGAAAGCCAATTAGCACTGCATACACCTGGGAGGCAGGAAAGTTTTAAGGGTGAGATCATACTTGTGCACTATTAGAGAGCTGGCCGGGTAGGTAGGTAGGGGTCGTCAGCCATGGAATGCAGCCCATCTAGGAGAAGGAAAACTCCGATTTCAAACCTCCGCTGCTTTGTGGCTATATCCACTCATGGAAAAGCCTTCAGGAGTTAACCTAGAGGCAAAATCCGGAGCTGGAGTCCCGAAGGCAGTTCATGTCATTCTGCCAACTCCTGAGACGTTGCTGGAACCAGTTGTATTGGCTCTTGCCTTTCCATTGGACCATTTCAGCAACGTGGAGAGGGGGGACTTGCTGCTCCGGTAACAGCCTATCCTCCATATTACTTTAACCAGGCTTCATGTTCTGGAGAGGACACTTCTCAATACAGAGCATGTTACCATTATCTCTCGAGACTGAAGAATGCCTATCATGATGACTTAAAATAAAATCTAAATATCTCAAAAGACACAATATATAAAACAGTACACTAATCATCTAAGACACCATCTTCCGGCCCTAGCTGTCTTACCAGCTATACTGTAAGAAAAAATCAAAAGGTTTGCTGTTGTCATTGTTAAAAGATGGCACTAATAAAGCAGTAGACAAGACAACGTAAGTAAAATATCAGATGTAAATGTCAGCTGATCATTGGAAAATACTGCCTTAACACAAAGGAATAACACATATACAGTGTGTGGTTTACTTACTTAGACTGGGCTGAAAAATTAGCTGCAGCAAAGATGGCAGCTTCAACCTCTACGTTATCATGGGAGTCCAGGCTCTGGCGAATACTGTGATGCGCATTCTTCCTTTCTGGGATTATAGATGCCATACTGCCCAACATCCTGAAGAATAAAACAGAGGAATGCCAGGCAGCAGCTAACTCAAATGATCCCACCCATCTTCTGAAACAGTACTGGGCATGCATACGAGACTGCAGAGGAAGAGGAAATCCAGTCCATCAATTGTTTCTGTTCTGCTAGCAGAAGGGAAACCACTGGATACAGGTGTAATGTTCTAAAACTAAATGAAACAAGAAGCTGCCCAAAAGCCCAAGCCTTGCAGAAGGATCATAATTCAGCCGTAAAACATATGACACGGAAGCAGAAAATACCAAATTCATCTCTTCTGTCTTACATTCCAATGACATTAAGGTAGTAGAATTGAGCAAGACCTCATCAGGACCCCTGAAATCTCCCTGCTCTTAAACGTAAGCACTAGTGGCTACACCAACTAGCAGTCTACCTCAAACCTCTCTTACTAAACACAGCAGCCAGGCAGTCCCTGGCTCCGTTACATATGCATACCTCAGTGTGATTGCTCGAGCAACAGGATCGTTGCTATGAATAACTGAAAAAACTCTTTTCACAAACTCATCCACGTTCAGGATCTTTTCCAGGTGCTTCTCGCTCTGCTGAGTAACCTTCAGAACACACAGCCTCAGGAAGTTGTTTCTGTTTTGATATATATATTTAATTTAATTAATTACCACACTTGCACCCTACTTTCCCCTGAAGAGTCCATTGCATCGAGTGACTGAAAAATGATGACCAACATCCTCCAAACTACAACATCACTACTAAAAACAGAGCTAAAAGCTATGAAGTGACAAAATAAAAAAAGGAGGAAAAAGTGAAACAAATAGATAGAAATAACGGTTGTTGTGGGTTTTTCGGGCTCTTTGGCCGTGTTCTGAAGGTTGTTCCTCCTAACGTTTCACAAGTCTCTGTGGCCGGCATCTTCAGAGGACAGCACTCTGTGCTCTGGGATAACATTTAAATGAAATTCTACAGCACAGTTAAAAAATTGGAAGAACCACTGACAGAGCTTAACACTAAAATGTTAAAAAAAGAGAGGAGAGTTTGCTATTCATTGAAGGGTCATTAAGGAAGTGATAAGGTGTGTTTTCCTCAGGAGGAAGTTCTAAAGCCTGGGCATCAAGAAGGCCTTCTCTCTGGTCTTTGCAGAACATACTGCAACAGGATATCTCCACATGACCTACTCCTAAGCAGACAGGGGCCTATGAAAAAAGGCAGTATTTCTTGAATCTTGTTTTCAAATTGTACATGAAAAAGCTACCAGTGTTTTGAATTAACAATACTGTACATTTGGATGAATACTAAGAATCAGGAACAAAGAGGTTTTACCTACCCAACTCTGAAAACATCAGCTAGCTTTAAGAATGCTGAATTAATTAGAATCGGGAATGGATATTTCTGAAAGAGTCTGGGAAAACGGACAACAGCTTCACACTGTTCCCCCAATTTGCCAGATCGAAGACCTGTGACAAATAACAAAAGGCAGTATGAATGATGTAAAGAAGGTGAAGCAGTGTGTAAAGCAACAAACAAGTATGTGGTGTTTTCATTTCAATGCTGTGTAAAAGAGATGAAATTGGTATACAGTATAATAAAAAAAGGGCTTTGCCTGTTAGTCCAAAAATTTGACTACAGAGTAAAACAAAAAGCAAATCAGACACTTTAAGAAACCCATACCAAATATAAACTGGCTCTGAAGGTTAACAGAGTATGTAAGTTTTAACCTGGCCCCAAAACAATAATTGCCACTGATCATATTTTCAGAGAGAAGGCATTGCCTTCTAGGTGGTAACAGCAACACTATGGAATGCATTACCCATAAATATTTGCCTGGCTCTCTCTCTCTCTCTCCCCTGACCTTCAGAAAATGGATAAAGCACATTTTGTTTGAAGAGGCCTTTAGAAACATCTTACCCCTTTGACATCCCAGTGGATCCATGAATTGGATTGACTATTGATTTTGATTTGTCATCCTGGTTTCCTTTTGTTCTTCTTCTAAGTTTTACTGTCTATTGATTCTCTTTATTGTATCTATCTTCTCATGGGTAGAATTGGATAGTTAATGTTTTAACTGTTGTTAGCTGCCCAGAGTAATGCTTAGGCACTAGGATGGGTTGAGTATAAATGTAACAAATAAAATAAAGTAACAGGTGTGTCATACCAATGGTAACATATAGCAAAGTATCTCCACCAGTGAGATAGAGTCCATAAAGGAGCCCACAGCCTTCAGTTTACAAGGGCTAAGCAAGGCTGTTGAGGACAGAACATTTTGGAGATTGCTCATTCAAGATTCTTCTGGAACAGCTACAAAACTAAGCATGCATTTTTGACACTATTTATTTATTTATTTGATTTATATCCCGCCCATCTGGTCTGGTCTGGCAGAGTAACTTTCTTTCTCCCTTGGTCTTCAATGCACTATCTGCTCCTATGCTCTTCCAGCTTTTCTCATTTATACTTTTCATTATACAGTGGTGCCCCGCATAGCGACGTTCCGGATTAATCGTCGCTATGAGGAAACATCGCTAAACGGAACGGAAAAACCCATAGGAACGCATTAAACGTTCCTATGGGGCCCAAACTCACCGTTCAGCGAAGATCCTCCATAGTGCCATTTTCGCGCCCTCGGTAAGCGAGGAAACCGCGCAAAAATGGTTGCAGAGGCCATTTTGGAACCGCCAATCAGCTGTTAGAAAAACATCGCAATGCGAAACGCTTACCGATCATCGCATTTTAGCCATTAAAAAATAGATCGCTATGCGGATTCGTTGTTAAACGGTGCGCTCATTATGCGAGGCATACTTATATATTCTCATTATACTTTTCAAGCTCAGATAATACTAATATTATTTCTGGGACTTCTATCAGGTAGGTTTCTTCATCAGGTCACTTTTGCGAGTAGTTATTCATAGTCTCGAGAGACTATGGTTACGTGCTTTGTATGCAGGACGTTGAACAGCATCTAGTGTTGCTCAGATCAATTTCGTACTAGACCAATCTTTGATCTTTGCTGCTGTTTGCATGCTTTTAAATTATATACCTGCTTCTTGGAAATTAAGCACTCTCTTTACAACTGCAGAAAGACTGATTTTGCAACACTGGATAGATGCCAACTAGAGGGGCTGGTCAGAAGAGCCAGCCTTTCACAGAGGGCTATGTGTTTTGTTTTTCTGTATCCTCCATTTTTAATTTTTTTTTAAAAAAAATCTGAAATGCTTTAAGGGGAACCTTTACCTTTACCTATCCTCCATTTTTAATTTTTTTTTTTTTAAATCTGAAATGCTTTTAAAAGACTGCTTCAAAATGAGGGGGGAACTATACTGTGGTTTCATAAACAAAGCCAGCCCATCATGTAATACAGAAATAAAACAAAGAGGCTTATGCCACAATAAAGCCAGTGTAATAATCATAACCATTTGCCAACAAGTCACTTCTAACATAGGGTGATCCTTTCCAGAGTTTTCTATATACTGTACTGTACTACACTGAGAGGTAATTTCCCATTCCCTTCTTCTGAAGGAGCCACCACCCTGGGACTGTGGCGCTTGCCGAAGGCCACACAGGCTGGCTCTAGTCATAGGAAGGGACAGTGGGGAGACTCGAACTCCCAACCTCTGGCTCCATAGCCAGAGACCTAACTCACTGAGCTATTGGGTTAGCTCAAATATTTATTTTATTTACAATAAAATACATAATAATCTTTGAACAACGGAGTCCAGCCTCTATCAAACAGACACAGTGGGGAAACCGAACTCTCAAACTAAACCACTGAGCTACCCAACAGTTTATAGACAGTCCTGCTTAAGGCCTAAAATACATAATAATCTTTGAACAACGGAGTCCAGCCTCTATCAAACAGACACAGTGGGGAAACCGAACTCTCAAACTAAACCACTGTACTAAGACTCCGCTGCTTTCTGCCTCACACGAGCGCAAACCGCCTCAAACTCCCCGCCTCACACCGAAGGGGCGGGGCTTCTGACGAGGACTGATCAGACCGGCGCATGCGCGGATCGCCTACGCTTTCTGCCTTACCTTTATCCAGCTCCATGAGGGCAGAGTTGGCATCAAGCTCTTGTTCCCCATAGCCGGCATCGGCGAGGAAAGATTTGGAAGCTGAGGCCATGCTGTACCGTGTTATACAAGAGCTTCCGAGGGGAGGAAGGGAAAAGGTATCACGTATTGCTTCCCCTCCCCCGCCTACAAAAAACACACGAACTCCTCAACCCGCCGCGCTTCCCTGCCTGCTCAAGCGACAGCTACCACGCATGTGCAGACGCCACATTGCTTGCGGCGCCTGCGCCATTACGTTCCCGCCGTCGCGCTGGTAGTGAGCATGCGCTTCGCCCTTGCGAGGGCGTTCTTCGTTTCAAAGGAAACGAGTGAGAACTAAGGGATAGGAGAACCGGGTACGCATGCGCAGTTGCAGAAAAGGGAGGTGCGTTCGTGGTTGGATCTGGCCAGAAAGGGAGGCTTGTAGGCGTGGCCTTCTTCCCGCGAGGGGGGGGAGAAAGAAACCAATAGAAAGGAGAAGGCGGAGTTTCGTGTCCTACGACATCCAATCGGTGAGCGCGAAATCACTTTGGCGCGTACTTCGTTCTGGCGGGAGTTTAGGCTAGCAAGAGAAAGAGTCTCTGCTGGGCTTCCGGCGAACGGTTCGTGGGGAGTCTGTCGGGTTGGGGGTCTGCCGTCGCCGCCGCTATGCTGTGTCGCTCCCTGTTTCATCGGTGCCAGTCGGGGCCGCACGGTATGCGTTGAGGGAACGTGTGCTTGAATGGCGGGCGGGGGAGGGAACGAGACGGAGGAAATTTCGGACCCCCCCCCAAAGCTCCCAGTTTGCAGTCTCTAATTTTGAATTATGTTGTTGTGGAAACCGAGGTTTTTCTTCCTCTAACTTGGGAATGTTATGCATTTCGGGAGAGGGAAACGTCACTGTTTTGCACAACAGGCCCCCAAATTCCATGCCTCGTAAAAAAAAAATTTTTTAAATTGTGTTCTATTTATACTTCTCCACATCCCTTGCAGCCTCCGAACAAGTCTTGGGGGGTGTTTCTGCCCTTTCCCCTTTGCTCTGATGTAGACTTGCTGTGATGTAGATTAGCCTAAGAGATGGTAGGTGGTCTGTGGCCTCAGGTTGCCCTGTGTGCTGCATGGCGGAGATGAATGACCTGGTCGAAGTGCAACCACAGCACGCCATTCAGATTACTTACACCCCCAAGCTGTTAACCTTGTCTTGTTGCAGAGGGCAATTAAAGTGACATTTGGGGTGTGTCAGAATACAGGGATTACTGACTAAAAGACCTGGACCCCAACAAGGATGCATCAGCTGTATTGGAATCAAAGCAAACCTGACTCTCCTTTCCTTTATCCTCATCACTTGTTAGGCCTTGAGCTCCATTTTTATCAGGACTTAATAGAAGTATGTCTTTCATTCTTCCTCAGATCTGAAAAATATATATGGTGCTTTAATAATGGTTTTACTTGTTTCTTTTAATTCTGTAGGAAAAAAGAATGTTTTTAAGGCGTTCTGAAATGCAGAGGTGTGGGGACATACATACACAAAAGTATTGATCCAACTGGCTAGTTAGGGAGTATGATCACTTAGAAGGCATGTGATTGGAGCCTGCAGATACAGTATTTGAACACAGCTCTTGTTGTAATGGAGGAAATTCTTACAATTTCAGATGTCCTCCATTTCAGACTCTTATGTCTAGCCTGGGGATAAAACATGGGAAGAAAAAACAAATGGAAATAAGTTATAATACTGTAGAAGCACAACACCCCTGCTGGAAACTGTTGCAAAGCTGATATGCCCTGCCATACTGTGCCTTCTTTCTTTGAAGCTGGTTCTGTTAATTCAGTTATACTGGCAAATATACCGTGTTCCCCCGAAAATAACACAGGGTCTTATATTAATTTTTACTCCTAAAATGCATTAGGGCTTATTTTCAGGGGATGTTTTATTTTTTTCATGTACAACAATCTACATTTATTCCAATATAGTCATGTCATCTTCTGGTTGCTACACAATGTTGGAGGGCGGGGTTTCACTTAACTGGGGCTTATTAAAAATAAATAAATAAAATAAATTATTTTTTAGGTACGGCTTATATTACGAGCATCCTGAACAATCATACTAGGTCTTATTTTTGGGCAAACAAGGTACATGTCAGGAACACCTCTGCGCTGTGTTAGCTCCTCTTTCTGCAACACATGACTTGGAGTGTGACAGCAAAGCCATTGTCCTCTTGACCTATACCTAAAACTGGAAGATGCAAAGACAAGGGAAAAGCAAGACTGAACTTGATTCAGAATAGTCTTTGAGTTAACATGCATTTATGGTAAGAAATGGGAAGAGGCATTGACTGCATTGAAAATGCAGTACAGGCACATGTGCTGTGAATATGCAAACACATCTTTTACTATAGGATAGTTTACCCTTAAACAATAGAAATAAAGTGACAGGTGCCAATTCTTGTAAACTTTGTTGTAGTGTTTTGTTGCTTGACTTTCAAAAGAGCAGAGACTAGAAGCCCATTTTAAGTTATTGTTTCTTTTTAGGTCTGCTGTCAAGGCTTTCCTTACACCATCTTTTAGAAAGTTATTGCTGTACTACAGAAGATGATCATCCTTCCTATGGAGAAATGGGAATGCCAGTTCCTCCTTTTGGCTGCACATTTTCAACAGGCAACGGAAGTTATAAAGGTCTGCCACACAAACAGACTAAACGCTGCTGTATCTTGCTACTTTATTTTGAAATCCACTTTGTTGTTTCCACGTTGCTGTGTAATATTTGGTTTTTATAGTACGTTATGCATTTGTCCTGTCAGGTAGGTACATTGCACTTTACAGAATATAATCCTAACAATTATGTGAACACAAATTCCTTGTTTTCAGCTCCAGACGTGGAACACATCCTTGCAGTTGCAAATGAAGAAGGATTTGTTAGGCTGTATGATACACATGCCTGTACAAGCAGCAAGCAAGTTTTCAGAGGTAAATGGAAAAGTTTAACTTGGAATTGAACTAGGTACTGGATTGCCCTTTGATTAGATAATTGTCAGTTCTTAACGAAAACAAATAAAATTTCAATACAGTTGTGCCCTGCTTAATGATTACCTTGTTAAACGACAAATTTACGATATTTTTTTGCTATTGTGATCGCAAAACGATGTTCCTATGGGCTTTTTTCATTTGACAACAATCGGTTCCCTGCTTTGGGAATCGATTGTTTGCTTAACAATGATTTTAAAACAGCTGATCAGCGGGTCGCAAAATGGCTGCCTGCTGTGCAAAATGGCTCCCCCGCTGTTTTCAGCATTGATTGCTCACTTTACAAGCACTGGAAAATTGCTGCCCTATGCAGGATCTTCAGTGGACGATGAGGTATTTCACCCATTAGAACGCATTAACCGGTTCCTAATGCATTCTAATGGGTTTTTTAATTTTGCTTGACAATGATTTCGCTTAACAGCAATTTGAACGGAATGTACAGTGGTGCCTCGCACAATGGTTGCCTCGTAGAGCGATGGAACGCATTAACCGGTTCCTAATGCATTCTAATGGGTTTTTTAATTTTGCTTGACAATGATTTCGCTTAATTTGAACGGAATGGATTATCGTCATCAAGCGAGGCACCACTGTACTCGAAAGGCTGTAAAAGAGGTCTATTTGTATGCATTTTTTGTAACTCTAGTTTGCTTTATGAATGGGTAGCTTGTCACCATTCAGATATCATTAAACTGCAACTCCGATGATATCTCATCACTGGCCATGTTGACTAGGGTTTGTTGGGAATTGTAATTCAATAACATTTCAAGGAACATCTCAATAATATCACAAGTTGCCTTCCTCACCCTACACACTGCAGAGCTAAACTTTTGATGAATGTGACCTCTGGATTTTTTTGATTTAGAACTCTGCTCATCACAAGTCACTGGTAAGCACTTCTGAGAATTGTAATCCCCGAAGATCTGGAGGGTTACATTTGCTCACCCCTGTTTTGGAGGGGTATAGTCCAGTGCCTTGCCCCACTTCATTCTTTTTCATTCCTGCTCTGCAGTTGTGTTTCCCTTCTGCTAAACCTCCATGACAAGCTGAAAGCTCTTTTGCAAGCTTGGAGAAGATACTTCAGAAACTTATATTCTGCTCCAGTAGGGTTGATGCTATTATATTTGGAACTAATATATGCCCCTTTTCCCCCATCAGAGTGGCAGGCTCACTCAAATGCTGTTTTTGATCTTGCATGGATGCCCAGGGAACATAAAATTGTGAGTAAACTAATATGATTCTTTGCCTATGTGCTACAGGTTTAAGAGTGCCCCCCTTTTTTTCTTGCTACTCCAGTAAGAACAGCCTAGCAAGTCAGCCATGTGGATAAAGGTTTATTTTCCTTTATCTCACCTTGTGATACATTCTTCACCATGTCTTCTATGATTCAGGAAAGCCAAGGGAAAAAAGCACTGCTTTGATAGAATATTAAAAATTGGAGGTATAGACAGTGTGATAATTTGGAATTCTCTTTCAAGACATTTACCGATATCTTGACTGTACTTATATTTTTTTAGAAATTGAATAGGCAAGATGAGAAACTGTGTGGCTAGGGTCTATGAATGACTGGTATATCTTGTGGCTTGTATACCTTTTAAGCTGGTTCTGGTTCTTTAGAATAACTCCACCCACATCAGATGTTTTGGAGTTCAATTAGCAGCTTTTATTTTTAAAACTAAAACCAAGGACTGGAAGTTGCAGGGACACATGCCTGTTCCACATGAGTACAAGGCCTGTAATGATGTGAGCTGTTTGACATTGAAAAATACTTCCTTGGGTTTTTATTTATTTATTTTTGGCAATAGTTCAGTATGTAGAGTGTGTAGAAAGAGCGGCCATCTCTCAAACATACTGAAGCAGCATGCTGGATTGCATGTTCTCAATTGAAGAGAGAGTTAAACTGGATGACTTCCAAAATCCTTTTTTCTTTTGATTCTACAAGGATGTTGTCTTGCACACCAAATATTGGGGTGTGTTATGCATATGTCCATTATCTTTCAATCCTACACCTTCCTCTCAGTCCATCTGTATACCTGCTGCCTTGTAAGGCTGCAGCTGTGTAGGCTCTTACTTGGTTGTATATTCCACTGATCTTGTAGGAACCTCGGGGGCAGTGGTTAAACTAGTGGTGCAGTCAAGTCTCTGCACACAGCCTGATTTCAGTTCCAATGGGCTCAGGTAGCAAGCTCAGTTAACTCAGCCTTCCATCCTTCCAAGGTAGATAGACTGAGAACCCAGCTTACTGTGGCAGTTAACTCAGCCTTCCATCCTTCCAAGGTACAGTAGATAGACTGAGAACCTAGCTTACTGTGGCAGGAAGCAATGTGTAGCCTGCATAATTAAAAACTAAACCACCCAGAGAGTGCTTAAAGTGCTATGGGGCAATATATAAACAACATGCTTTGCTTTGATCTGGTTGGATTTATTTCTGAGAAAAAGTATAGCTTTATCTGACGATTTGCACCATTTTGGGGTGACACATACAGTTGCCATCAGAAGAGCTCCTGCCACAATTCACTTATAGACTCCAGGCTGCCACAGGATTTCTTCTCTTTTGGTGTGAAAAGGACTGAAATGGTGTTTGTCTTCTCTAAGGTTACTGCTTCAGGAGACCAGACTGCTAAAGTATGGGATGTAAGGACTGGTGAACTACTCGGAGTGTGCAAAGGACACCAGTGCAGCCTCAAGTCAGTGGCTTTCTCTAAATTTGAGAGAGGTAAATATTAATATGGTCATCTAGAGTGATTCTCAGTACGAACTTAATTGGCATAAAAACAATGGAACGGAGGGAAGGTCCCTTAATGCCAAGTTTGGCTGTGGCTGCACCAAGTGTTCTGTGACGGGATCTCTGCTTGTGCAACAAGGGTTCTGAAGGGCTAGATGAAGCCTGTCTCCCAGTCCCAGCTGCTTGCCCTCCACACCACTCATGCTGTTCTGCATTGCAATTAGACTTAGAAGAAAAAGCCTCCACTTGTGTCAGTGACGGTTCTTTGGAGAAAAAAAAAGCTAATTGCAATCTATGGAACAGCAGAGAGATTACAGCACTTGGGGTGGATTGTTATGTATATGCCGCCTTTCCCCCCATAGGAGACCCAAGATGGCTTGTAATGGTTAAGGCTATAATCACAGATTTAAATACAGTACACTTTTCACTTCTCAACAGCAACACACTGAAAATTGTTGCCGCTCCCCATGGCAGCTGGCTATTTAAAGCTCCTCTGTGAGTACCAAAGGAAGTTTTTTTTTGTAAAAGTGCAAGTGACGTGGTATTTGCACTGCATAGAGAATTAATCTGATAATTAGCCATTTTATTCTCCAACAGCTTTCTTTCCCCCTCTTCATACTATAGATCTACCTGAATCACCTGACATAGCCAGCAGGAACGACTGAGGGGCCTAACGCCAAGACATGCCTGGAAAGAAAGAACAAGAAACCGGGCCTTCTTGGCAGTGGCCCCTCGGCTATGGAACAGCCTCCCAACATAAATCTATCTGGCACCCTTTCTGGGTGTTTTTAAAAGCCATTTAAAAACTTGGCTCTTTAGGCAGGCCTTCCCTCCAGTCAATTAACCGATCTTTATTCTTTGTTTTCTGAGTTATTTCATCTCAGCAATGTTTTAGAAATAAGTGTTAAAGTTATGTTGTATTGGATGATTTTATGATGTTTGCTACGTTATTATGTTTTTTATCATGTGTGTAAGCTGCCCCGAGTAGACTTTGTCTGGGAGGGTGGGGCGGGGTAAAATCTAATAAAAGTAAAAGTAAAAAAAAAGTAGTATATATATGTTTATTTAAATATATATATTTAAAACATCCATGCACATCTTTGGAGGTTTTTTTTAAAAGCCTCATTATGGATCTAGACCACTGGTTCTTAACCTTGGGTTACTCAGGAGTTTTGGACTGCAACTCCCAGAAGCCTTCACCACCAACTGTGCTGGCTGGGGTTTCTGGGAGTTGCAGTTCAAAAACATCCGAGTAACAAAGGTTAAGAACCACTGATCTAGACTGGTGGCTGAGGGGAGACTAAAGGCAGAGAGAGCTTCATGAATGGCATTCTGTATTGCCTGCTTAAAAGAACAGCCCTGCTTGTATGTTTCACAGCTGTGTTCTGCACTGGAGGAAGAGATGGAAACATCATGGTCTGGGACACTCGGTGCAATAAGAAAGGTATGCTTATTTCTCCCCACCTCTTCCAATTTTAAGACATAACTGATTGGCTCTAGATCACCCAGTGAAGTATATGAGGGACTTCAACATGGGTCATCTCTTTTTAACTAGTTAAAAACTCTAGTTAAAAAGATACTGTTTGCTACAGTTTAATCATTCCCCCTCCTTACTGGGGTATCTATGTAGCCCTAATTAATCCATTTTGGTGTGCTGCTACAGTGCAGTAAGAGTTTTTTTTAAAAGAGTACTGTTTTCAAAACTGCCTTTCAGATGGATTTTACAGACAAGTGAAACAAATAAGTGGAGCCCACAACATATTAGATAAGCAGACACCATCCAAACTAAAGAAGAAAAAGCAGAATGTGAGAGGGCTTGCTCCTTCAGTGGTAAGGATTTGGAAGCTGAGAAATATTTGACTTCATGTTGCTTTTAGAAAGGTGCCATTCTATGTGGTTCTGCATCCCTCATCCCATGATGCTGAGATCTGCCAAGACCAGAAACTAAAACAATGGGAATAGGAAATACTGAGCTGGTGCCAAGGAAGAACAAACGCCAGGCAACAGACCCACACGACTTTTGACATTACCTATTCTCCCAGGGGAGCAAACAGAGAAGTAATGCTTTTTAAAAAATAAAATCTTAGAACCTTTCCTAAATGATTGCGTTCAGTTTGGTACATGAAGTTCACTCATCACCCCTTTCTTTTGGGGTGATGCGTGAACATATTATTTATTTATTTTATTTTATTTATATCCCGCCTATCTGATCAATAGACCACTCTAGGCAAAAAGCAGCAAAGACCTCTGGCTGAGGAACATCCTGTATTTAATAAATATATAGGTATGTGATTGTTGTGTTTCCCTGAGTGTAGATGTGTTTGGTGTGAGTCACATGTGAGAGAAATCAACCCCTTTTGTGTGCAGTTGCTTTCTTTCACACGTGGGTCACACCAAACATCTTACCTTTAGGAGAACAGTCACATACCTATATATTTATTAAATAAAGGATGCTCCTCGGCCAGAGGTCTGCCTATTATGTTGTTTTCCTAGAGATTGAACCCGGAACTTCGTACATCCAGATGCTTTGCAACTGATTTGCTCCATCTCTTTTCCCATCTCCATGACTATTCTACCTCTGATAGCTCACCTCAGCCTTAGTCTATCTTTTCACATGTGTTCTCCTGCCCTCTAAAATGTTTGCACATCCCATCTGAATCTTAGACACAGTCCCTGTAGTTTGTGAATTTGACAACACTGAGCATCCAGGCTTATACAGATGTTATGTTGATGCAACTTTGTCCCCCCTGCCTGCCCCCTGGTCCCATTTGCTCTTAAGATTAGGCAGCAGTTTCAAAGGACAGTCTAAAATCTGGTCAGCCTTGACCAATAAAGTAAAAGCTGTTGCATCTTGAAACTACAAGGGTGTCTGTTGTCACAGAGATACCCAGTATGGTGTGTAATGGATAAAGTAACAGACTAAGATACAGGAGGTCTGGATGCGAATCTCTGCTCAGCCATGGAAACTGACTAGGGGAGTGGAACTGCTAAAACCTCTCCTTAAATATCTCATTTATCTTTAAAGCCTCACTAGGGTTGCTGTAAGTCAGTTCTGACTTGACTGCACATAACAACTGGCATCATATATGAGAATTGGTGCACCTTTCCTCTCTTGTGGGCTAGTACTTTTTTGGGATTGTTTGTATGGCCAATAGCACTATCCTATGCATCTTTATTAAGGGGTCAGATGGGGCTTAAGGGTAAGATTGCAGCCTGAACTACTGTACCTTGCTTTCATTTGTGTTCTGCATCTTACTATAGTCTGAAGAACTGTGATACAACCATTGTTCCTTTGGTGTTAGTAAAAGAATGCTGTTTTGGTAGATGCAGAACAGAGGAAACAGTATTTACTGAAAACTGTGTTTATATGGAACATTTAATCAGTCTGAAATTGCATTGCCTACTTTGCCATAGCATTAGCTTGTTTTTTCCATTTGTTTGTTAAAGGACTTCCAACAGAGTGTGACAGTGGTGTTGCTTCAGAATGAACACACCTTGATTTCAGCAGGAGCAGTTGATGGGTAAGGAGGCCATTCTCTTAACAAACACCTGTTACCTCCTCTACTCAAGGGGTGGAATGTAGAGATAGGTGCTTCATACGAAGCACAAAGTGTGACATCGCAGGTGATGTGCTGGCCCATCTCACACCCCGCCAGCCACCCTTCTTTGCGCACCGCTGGGGCCCTGTGCACTCCAATCCAGCCAGGCGCTCGGCCAAGCCGGCCCCACCTTAGGTAGCCAACCACTTCACTGAGGAGGTGGGGCAGGGATTCTCCTTGGAGAGGCAGGGCTGGATTGGCTGGGCTGCTGGCTGGTTTGGAGTGCTGCCAGAGGAAAAGAACCCCAGTGTTGCACGAAGCAGGGTGAGTGGCTCGGCCAACGGGGGAGATGAGATGGGGCAGTACAAAGTGCCCAACTCTAGCGGACTATAATGGGAACCTCACCAGACCAGCTCCATTTCTTCACCAGATATCTCTCCTCTGTAGAGCCTGTAACTTTGTGACAGGAACTAAGGTATACTTCAAGACAGTGTCATAGGATGGGGCTGAATCTGTCTCTATCTAGGAGTGTGTTCTTTGGCTTTAACTAAAGCAGGGGTGTCCAACCTTTCACCTTCCCTGGGCCACATTAGAGGATGAAAATTTGGTTTGGGCCGCACATACATTTGGTTTGGGCCGCATGGGGGGGGCAGCCCTAGCCTTCCTCCGCAGCCCCACTCCAAGCGCGCTTACCGGCAGCTGCGATCTTAGACAGCAGAGGCTGCCAGCTTCAACTCCGGTGGCTTTATGGGGCCGGGAGGGGGTCCACCTATTGACGGGGATGGTGCAATGCAGTCACGCAGCCCCCCTGTCCTCTCCCCCCCACTCCTTCCTCCCTTCCCTCTCTCCCCCTCTACTGTTGTGGCATGCCCCAGCCACATTCTGGCCGCAAGCGCCGGCAGCGTAACTTGAAACTTTGGAATTTCTTTAAAAATAAAAAATTGCACTGGGCCACATTATGAGCTGACCTGGGCCGCATGTGGCCCTTAGGCCGCAGGTTGGACAAGCCTGAACTAAAGCATACAAATAGCAGCACTGAAATACGCCAAGCCTTCATAAGTAAATTGATGTGGAAATATGGAAGGATGAAAATAGACATACTACAAGAGGACTTACCCATTTACAACTAACCTAGCAAATAATGCATAATAAACAGGTTTTTTTCCTCTCCCACGTTCTCATAGTTCTGCCTGGCATTCATGAATGCACATTGTTGCTGCCTTCTCTTGTTTAGCAAACTGTCCACAGCTATAAAGTGAGGCAGCTGCCCATGCATTAGCTGTTTTATTTATTTCTTATATTAAACAGAGTGAGAAAGTGTGTTACGGGCACTCACCTTAACTGGTACGAGAAATTTCAGACAGGCAGAAGCCACGTTGCTCAATCCCATTGTGAACAAAGTTTCTCTTGTTTCTTTTCGTCCTAGTCGGTAATATGGTCCACAACATTTTTAACCTTTTTATTTAAAATGTAGTTACATTTTATTAATAACAATAAATGGAGTGCGTTAATGGACAAGCCTGGCAGTTTTGAAATTATCTTGTATTTTAAAGCACTTCATATAAAACTCAGATTAGTTGTATCCTAGCTATTTCAAGATTAATCTTTGTCAAGTAATTTTTCTTAACTATGTGTGTGAGATGTTATCTTTCACTGATTTACAAACAGCACAGTAAAATAAAACCACAACACACATAATAATCTAAACCAATTATGTTGTAAATTTACTTTTTGGCTGTACAAGTTAAGTCAAAATAAAACTGATTAATTCTGTTTCTGCTAATAAATATAGTATTGGCTCTTTGTTTTGTTTCCCTTGAACTTAGGGCAGTTTTCATTATAACCCTGCAAGTCTCTAACCAGTACAACACACTGGTTCTTGTTGAGATTTTGTGTGGTCCAGCTATGGGTGTTAGATTTAGAAGACAAACATTCATGTACCAAGGAAACACGTTATTTAATCCCACTAAGGAAGCAGGGAAGGGTGTGGAGGGGAGGCAGTTGGTCAGAGGATTCAGTGATTCTGCTCTAGTTTGCACTGGATGTACACCTAGCGGAACCCAAAAGTTTGCATATTGATTCACTTGTGTCTGTTTAAGCCATGCTTCCCCAGCTGTGTGTCACCATACTGGCTGCGGCTGATGGGAAGCATAGTCCAACACATCTGGAAGTGTATCTGGTTGGAGAAGGTTTGTTGGTTCAGCAGAGTTTTTGAGTAAGTACTTGTCCTTGTTCAGGACAAAGAAGGGGCAGGCAGCACAATGAATCTTCCTACTTTGCACGGGACTATGAAGCAAGGGGTACAGCATCTTCCCCTCCCAGATACTCAGACCTAGTATGTTGTTTCTCTAATCATGGGATGGTTCCATTTTCCTTAGGTATCAGCAACTGTAGCTACAGTTTAGTATAGAATGTGCAGTCTGCCTAATACATATTGGAGATGAGGAGTCCTGTCAGTGAGCTGACACTTAACATATGCCTCTACTAGTTCATTTAAAAGAAAACGTTTGTTTCTGATGATGTAAGTTTAATTGCTATAATTCTGGATGTGCTGAGAGCTCATAAAATCACCAGCGTTGCTGCCGAGTCAGGTAATTGTTCTTGTTACTTGTTCTTACTAACTTGATTTCAGGCATATTCTAACCATTGATTGGTGTGCATGTTACAAATGAGACTGAAGTATGATATGGAATGTTCTGACTCAATTTCAGAGTAATCAAGATATGGGACCTGCGCAAGAACTACACTGTGTATCATCAGGATCCAGTGCCATCCAGGTCTTTCAGCTACCCTGGGACCTGCACACGTAAACTTGGTAGGACATAATGTTTTGTTGAAAAAAGGAAGGGACCAATGTTCTTCCACAGCAAAGTTTTATAGTTCCTTTGTTTACCTTCTGTCTCTTAAAATTCAATTCATAGAATCATAGAATGGTGAAGTTGGAAGGGGTCTCTAAGGTCATCAAGTCCAACCTCCTGCTCGATGCAGGAATACATATCAAAGGATATCTGCCAGGTGGTTGTCTTCAGTAAACCTCTGGTTTATGAATATGGGATGTTGTGCTTCCATATCCATGATTGAGAAAGTCAGGAAATGGCACCAAATTGTGCCCATATTGCTAGCAGGAAAAAAGATGCCAAGCTTTATATAACAAAGAGCAGACCAAACAACACCAATTGTAGTAGTCAAGATGGTCTACAGCAGTGGTTCTTAACCTTTGTTACTCAGATGCTTTTGAACTGCAACTCCCAGAAACCCCAGTCAGCACAGCAGGTGGTGAAGGCTTCTGGGAGTTGCAGTCCAAAACTCCTGAGTAACCCAAGGTTAAGAACCAGTGGTCTACAGGACTATCTTCTGCTCACTACCATCCACAAAGTGACACCACGCAAGGGAAAATCCCAGAAGTGGACTTCTTTTTTTCATCAGTTAACTACTTCTTACTCAACACAAAGCAATTGTCAGGGCTGCTTTTCAACCATTGTGAAACCAAGTTTGGTCTTTTAAATACATGTATTTGATCTGTTTTAAATTAGCAGATAGAAAAGGTTGCCAGTGCTTTTACAAATTCATAACTTGAATACTGTTAGCCCAAATGTCCCCAAATTCGGTACAGAACAAAAGCAGACTGTCTGCTACATGTGTTCTAAATTTGGTGCTTATCCAAGATCCATTGTCAAAGTTACAATTTTTTGTTTGGGGTTGCCTTATGGAACGCTGCTTTGCTCTGCTGCAGAATATCTATTGCACTCTTATGCAGCAATAATAGCTGAAATCCTGTTATGTAGGTATATACAGTAGTACTATAAATTTTGGAGGCAAACTTCCCCTTAAATATCTATTGCACTCTCATGCAGCAATAATAGCTGAAATCCTCTTATGTAGGTATATACAGTAGTAGTATAAATTTTGGAGGCAAACTTCCCCTTGTTAAGAGATCACTGAAGACATTAAAAGTCACGGAAAGTCACACAACTCAGTATGCAAGAATGCCTGTGATGATTTCTTAACATAAAGCTATTCACCTAAAGTTGTTCTGTTTGTATTAGGGCAGCATAACTAAGCAAGAAGATTTGGGCAAATATCTCATTTGCATTTGGAAATTACAGTTGTACTTCTGGTTGAGACTGTGTGTAGATCTAGGGGTTTTGATACAGAAACTGACCTAGTTCCTTCTGAGGACCCTCTGTTCTCCCTAAGGGGAGCTATAGGAGAGGAACTCTTGTTTGTCGCCAGTGCTGAGGACGGGGTATGCTTTATGGTCACAGAGTCCTGTGGGGAGACTGAAAAGAAAAACAGGAGAAGGGAATGAAATGAAGCATAGTTTCCTAGGACCGGCAGAATCAGCCGTGTTCTGTGGGTGAACATTTTCTTACAAGTCCCGCTCACTTTTTTCCTTAAAACTTCTCAAGAGGCAGATGGTTGATGGTACTTAAATAGAGAACTTCCTTCCTTCTAGGTTATTCTAGTCTTGTTCTGGACTCCACTGGTACCTGCTTATTCGCTAACTGTACTGATGACAACATATACATGTTCAGTTTGCTTAGTCTGAAGACCACTCCAGGTAAGGAAGGTAGAGCTGAAAAATATTTGTCCATAACGTTAGGCACAAGCTATACTTAGGAAGATCTGACACATGTAGTTATTATGACTGGTTTTGCCTAGCAGTACAATTGTATCCAGGCTTCCTGGAAATAAAGCCTTTCTATATTTACTTATTTATTTTGTTTACATTTTTTAATTTAATGTAAGATGGCTCACATACCGGTAATTAAAAGACAGTATTTCTAGTTAACAATGAATATACAAATAGCAAAAAGGATCAAATGAATACCATACTTAACACAGCACCAAAAGCACATTTAAAACAGTAAGGCACAACAATCCATTTAAAAACCCTAGACAGGTATCCAGTCACTAAGGGAAAGCTTACCTGAAGAGGAAGATCTTCACCTGCTTGTGAAGGACAAGCAACAGAGAAGGACCTCCTCAAACACACCTGTAAAGGTGTTGGGAGCAAGAGAAGGACGAGCAGGCTCATAAAGGAAGATGCGGTTCTTGAGATAGCTTGAGCCCAAGCCATTTAGGGCTTTATAGGTTAGAACCAGTACTTTGGATTGTGCCTGGAAATGGATTGGCAGCTAATGGAACTGCTTTAACAGTTGTCTACATTTATCTATATACAGCGTGCATTGTTGTCTAATCTGCTTTTAAAGCCATAGATTTTAGTGGTTATCACTGTAGTTTGTGATGGTGAATTCCATACTTTAGCTTTGTATAATGTGAAGAGATTAGGGTTTCCCACCCACCCTGCCACCTTCTTTAGATCTCGGTGTTTTTGAGTATTCTCTGTAGAATCTACTCAGGCCACCAGGGAGCAGCAAATACTGAGTGCCTGACTTAAATAACTTTTAAAAAGCAGGTGCTGCTAAGTTTCACTTCATACTTCATCTGATTCTAGTCTCTCTTGCAGCCTGAAAAGCTTGTAGAATATTAGCATCTTTCTCCCCTTTTTGAGGAAATTGTGTGACAGTGAAACTTCACAGGAACCGGGCTACACTCCAGCTGTTTTACCTCATATTGTACACTGTAATTCCATGTAGTTGGGCAAAAATTGGCAAGGACCAATGAGTTTGTTGACATTTATAGATTATTCCAAAGGCAATTTTTATAAAAATTATCAGTGCCTTGAGGAAGTGGAGAGGGAAGGAGCATGTGGGCCAGGAAATGTAACCCACCACATCTGGAAGATGTCAGGTTGGAGGGAACTAGGTCAGAAGAATGTACAGGACCTTGAAAAACAGGGGAACACCCATTCCTGCCAACTGTGGAGGCTTTATAGCTTTTAGGTGCTAGTATTTGGCTGGTTATCCTCTCTGGCAATTGATCTCAGATCAACATGATCTCGGAGCCTGGAAAAAATAATTTCCCAAGCTACTTCTCAAAGCTGGATCTTGGCTTTTTTTTTTTCTCTTGCTGCTTTTTCTCATTCTTAATACTTTTTTTTCCTTTTGGTGTTAATCTTCCTATTCTCTTGGCTGAACTGTACGGCCAAATAAATGGTGGTATGTGCTCTAGCTCTGCTTAGTAAGGGAACACATGCAGCTTATTGTCAACTCCTGTTTTAAGTGGGTTATGACTGCCTTGGAAACAAGCCCAGGAAAACTATGAGCCCACCCACACCTAACTTTGTTAATTTTCAGTGGCAAGTTTTTTTTTTAAAGAATTGTTTCTGTTTCTGAACTATTTGGAGAGTATTTTTAATTGCTAAAGAGAGAGAGTTTATTTGTCATCAATATTAAAGCTGAGAGCCCCTGCTTCTATTGCTAAAGGTCGTCTTGAACTATCTTGTAATTTGGTACATTTATACAAAGATCATCCAAGCCCAGTGAGCTTACTGGCGTTTACTGACCATTCCAAAGGCATTTTTAGTACAACCCTCAAAACACTGAGGATTCTAAGCCCAAATTCCCAATTATGCTGGGTTTCTGGAGGGAGAGCACTTGACCTGAACTTTTGTACCTTGACCAAACAGAGCACCATCTTAATCTCCTGAACTGATGTTAGGAAGAAGGGCAAAGAGAATATCTTCACATTTGGTGCCTGGAAAAGATGGTTGGCAGTCCTCTCTTAGACATTATGGAACAGCATCTTGGTGTATTTATATCAAAGGCTTGGACTTGGTACTCAAGACCCAAAGACTTACCAACATCCCTGACAATTATCCAACCTAGTCCATGTTCTCCCATCTTTTCTTCAAAGCTCCTTCAGAATCAAGTACTTATCAGAAAACGTAGCTAGGTAATATTTTGTTTTAAACAGGCATGGTCCTCATCCTATGTGCCGCTGTGCATATTTTTAAAATCTACATTTTTGGGGAGAGTGCAGATCAGTATGCAAGCTTTTAAATATTATAGGCTCTTCTGCAAATTGCGTTCAAGTGTGGGAGGTGTAAATTGGGTATACCCTCTGGTTAAAAAAAAAACGACCCAAAAATAATTTCTCACCCATTACCTAATAAGCATTTTCTGTAACATTTTGTGATAAGGCTGAGGATGTTCCTGTTCCACCTCCATAGTCAACCCAGACTGCTGTGCCTCTGCACGTAGTTCTCCCCGTTAGGGACAGGCACTTCCAGTTCTTGGCATCCCAAGAGCCTCAACTATTTGGAGCAGTCGTTCTAAGGCGTAGTAGATCAGATGGGCTATTACGGAGCCCTTAAAAATAGCTGAGTGACCCCTGTTACCAAGCTGGTGTACATCCTCCTTGTGAAATCAGATACCACTTGTAGGAAAGAAGATGAGCTGCAGCTTCCCCAAAGTGATCAATGCAAAAGATTTAAGGAGTCTGCCACAACGACAGGGTTTGGAGGCATAGACTCTGAGCTGAATCTGTGCTGCAAGGAATATAAGGTAGCTGATCAAATAGAAAGGAAAAGCAATGGGATAATTTTAAAAAAAACTTTCTCTAAGCTGTTCTGGCAACCTGTTGAAAGGCAAGTTCAGTACATCCCCTATTTTTTTAAAAGACATTTTTATCTTCTGATATTCTGCAGATGAAACTTTTTTTCAGATCTTGGAACCAGAGATTAGCATGCGGGCCTGCTGGGCCACTGGGAACAGATAGATTTATACCCCTATATTGAAGCACGCTCAACTTGGAGCAAGGAGTGTAATCACTGTGAAGGCAAAAAGAAATGAAATGTGAATTTCTAAAGAGAATCAAGTTCCGTTAAAGTTTCTGGAGCTTGTTTAAGTCAGACATTTGGGATTGTGAGATTATTGCTCGAAAAGTGAACAAACTCGGGGCAGGTTTTATGACTGCCAAGGTCTGCTTCTGTTCACTATGTGCGGTGGGTAAAAATCAATAATTTTTTTCAAAATCAAATTGATTTTAAGTCATAATTTTTTTTTTAAAAAAATGTTTTTTTAAAAAATGATGTTTTTTATTTAAATTGTTTTAAAAAAGCAAATCCACCCTTATGGTCTAGTGCAAGTTGTGAGCCACAGTTAGAGCAGACCCACCGAATCAAGGAGATTTATGTAAATGCTGGTTTTCTATTCAGGTGTTGATTCAAAGTGGCTAAACTCCTAGGGACTAGCAGTTTGATTTAGACCCATGTAAGCTTTCTTTGTTTACCCTGGAATCCCATGCATTGCAACTCAGGATAAGCTTTAAAAGCTTTTGATTGAATTTCTCTGTGGCCGAAAAGAACTCCCGGATGTGGAACAAGTTTTTCAACTATTTCAAACATTTCTTAATTATGAGCTGCTGCTCCCAGAGTTGGTCAGTTTCTGTCTGTTACTATGAATCTTCAAGGGCTCTGGTGGAGCTGTATGCCCTGTTGTTGAACAGGATTCCTGCCTGTATGAGGGGGCAGAGTAAGGATGCACTTGTTTATTCTTCCTTCACAGCTTGTAAAATTTTTTAAAAAGACGTTTGTTGTCATGCTTGTCCTTGTTACAGTGTTGGAATCTTAGATTTGGAAGGAATCTCAAGATTCATCTAGTCTGACCCCCTGCTAATGCAGGAAATCTATAGCTGAGGCATCTCTGACACATGATTGTCTTCTTGTTTTTTTAAAGCCCTCTAATAAAGTCCACCAATTAATTTGGTGTAGTATTAAAAAACAGGCTTGCTCTGTCTTCCACGTGACAGATGTTGAAAGATCTGAAGGTGACTATCATATATCTTGGTTCTCTTTTCTCGAAGCTAAACATAGCTTGAAAAACTCCTTCAGGTATTCCTTAGACTAGAGAACAGAGTTTTGCCAGCAAGGGGGTGGGGGTGGGGAGTGAGTTGCTTTTCCCCTGTTGTACAGTGAGAATTTTATGAAGAAGAGCTAAAACAATCCAGAGAACATTTGTTTTTGCTTTCCTCCAGTATTCTAATCTACTTTCACTATTTTGTCCTCTTCCAATTCAGTCCCTGCACAAAAATGTTACTTTTTTTAGCATTGTACTGATCTCTTGTAATTATGAGGGTATGTGAATAGGTAGGAGATGCATGCACCTGTCTTGAATGACTGGCTTATTCTTGAACTGTAGTCTCAGTTGTGTCTGGTTTGTTGTGTGTCCTCCCATCCCCAAACCTCAGTGTCAGTTTTCAGTGGACATCAGAACTCCAGTTTCTACGTTAAGTCCAGCATCAGCCCAGATGACCAGTTCCTGATCAGTGGCTCAAGTGACCAGAATGCATATATCTGGAAGGTAAGCAGCTGACGTCCCTGTGGCTGTTCTATCCACAAAGTTTCTCCACCTTTGCTGTTTGTACAGGAATAGCAGTGGCTGGGGGTGCGGAGGAGGTCAGAAAGTATCTGTATCCTTGGCCTGCTTTGCCCACAAAGCACAATTGTCAAGCTTGAGAGCAAGCCATAATATAAAGCAGAGCTAACTTCCTGCCCCTACCTTTCCTCCTTGCTCCTGCTTATTTCAAGTTGCTGAACTTAATCTGGTTTTAATACGTAGAGCTTTAAAAATCCCCTTTGAAACCTGTTTATTTGGCCAGCTATGACAAGCTGATAGGTGGTGCTTCATATTTAATAGCAATCCACATGACCCAGAGTCTACTGGTTTAGTTGTTACATATTTTCCCCCTCTCCCCTCAAGCCTCTACCCAGTTCTTTCCCCAGTTTATAAGCTCTTGCATCAGAACTGTGTCTCCTCACCACCCTCCCCCCTGCCTTGGACTGCTTAATTTCTAAGAGTTAAGAGCTCTGCATTATTCCAACAAGGGCTCAGCCAGAGCCTTAAGCAAAAATCCCAAGTAATGGCTGGCAGCTGAGGAGCTTACTTGGCACGTTGGGCCGATGTGTCAAGAAATGCAAATATTTTTGTGTTATTTTTCCACCAAAAGACATTTATTTATATATTCGGGGCCAACCCCATCCAGTGTAAAACAAGCAGAATGAAATGCCTTCCGCTAAATCAAAACTAAAATAACCAGCCATGCTGAAAGCTCATCTGGATAAGAACGGGAGGGAATCTGTGTCCTTCTCAGGCAGGCCTCTCTTTTCCCCTACTGGCTTCTGTCAATTTGGCCCGTGAAAGGCAGAATGTTGTGACATTTTGGTGGAAAATGAAAGAAGCAGATAGTCTTTCTAGATAGTAGATCCCTAGCAGATTAGAGCCACCTTAGAACTTGTGTACCAGATTCCACTATACTACTTACTGCCTGGGTTCATTCATCTCTTTGAGTAGTAAAGAGATGAATGAACCCAGGCAATAGTATATTGGAATTTGCAGATTCTTTCCACCATTCTTTCCTTCATGGTGGAAAAACTTCTAATCGAGAGGTAGGTTGGGGGCCGGACACAAACTGCTTAGATATTGCCAGGTTGATAATAAATCATGCTTATTTTCACATATTTTTATAGCAGAAAAGATAAAACCATGGAATTGAAAAAGACAGAAACGTTACATATACAATTTCCCTATTCACAAGTGATGACTTGCAATTTTTCATTCATTGCCTAGTGTGACAGGATGGAGATGCACTGCTGAAAAAAGGGCATATAGCTGACAATGACCAAGCCCTACATTGCACATGGTGTAGCAGAATGTGATTAATATGCATGTCAGATTTGTAATGTTCTAATTCTCTCTGCGACAAAAACTAGACCAGAAGAAGCATAGGAACATAGAAATCTATCTCGCAACTTTTCGGGCCATTGGTCCACTTAGCTCATTACTTCCTATGAAAATGGGGTGGTAGCTTTCCAGGGCTTGTTTTCCAGCTCTACCTGGTGATATCTGGGATTGAACCAGGGACTTTTTGCACATAGAGCACATGCTCTGCCACTGAGCAGTGATTGTTTGCCTGTGAAGTCTAAAGATGTTGGGGCAATGTCAAAGAAACAAATGGCATGTTAAAAAAAATAATTTTTGCTAAGTCAATTTTCAGACTTCATCCAGCAGGTTTAGTCATGATCACGGCAAGTTATTCTCATAATGGCATATTCAAGTATGTGATTGCATGGAGCATTATTTCCAGTATGAATCAGCCTCAGTTGTTATCTTCCCAGTGTGCTGTCTGCATTGATTTGATTTTGAAAATAAATTCCTGCTAGCACTTATCAGTATTTATTTGGTGGATTTTCCCTTGTTCTACCATGCAATCCTTTGTGAATTTTGATATGTGAGGAATATATTAAGAAATCATACTATATAGCATACCTAGCAAAGTGTGGATTAAATCTTTACTTCTGTCCTTCTGCTGTGTGATAAAGCTTTCAACCTAAAGTCATTCCTCTCCCCATAACCTTCTCTGAGAACAGTATAAGATGATTACTCTGGTGGATGTTCCATCTGCTCTATAAGAAAAAGGGGTAGATTGGCAAGCCTACACTGCTCCATCAGTACTTGTTATCTCTAGGAAGAGGTAGAGAACCCTTGCCCTTTGGATGTTTTGGACTGCAATTATCATCATCCATGCCACTGACCAGACTAACTGGGGCTTTTAAGAACTGTGGTTCAAAACATCTGTAAGACCAAATGTTTCTCATATCTACGCTAACAAACACAACACAAAACATCTAACAGCTGTTTCTGTTGTGCATTCAGCTATTTGTGCTGCAACTGAAGACTGGCTTTCTCTGATCCAAGGTAATATATATGCAAGACTCCATGACACCTGCTGTCCCTATGTGTGCAGATGTGTGTGCCCCTCTTTGCATACATAGAAAGAATTTGACTGGATCAAGCCAAAAGCCTGTCTCAGCTGTAGCCCTCCAGCTGTTTACTGCTATGCTCATCATCCTTCATGGGACAGGATCATGGGATCTGAGTTCTCCAGACCAGGCTTATGAAGTTCAGCATTCTGAAAGACTGCTCACTGGGAGAGAAGCTAAGAGGCAAGAGGTGACATCTTAAACCGGACTGAGATATAGTGTGTGAAATATACTGTTCTTTCTTTTAGTACAGTACAGTATATCTGTCCTCTTCAAGGCATGAATTGGCTGTATTGTGATGACCAACTTGTTTTCTATACAAGGGCTGGCTTTTCTTGAAAGTTTTAAAATGTATGCAGATTGTTATTAGAAGGTCTGAGTTTTTGCCATGGGTAGGATGAGGAAGAGCTCCCGAAGCCAGGGACCATAAGCAGACACATGGGGGATTTTTATTACTTCTGAGTCTAAAACCAACAAGAAATAGCATCTTTTTTGCCTGTTCTCATTAATAGAGGATTAAGAGATTTTGCTACACAGAGTAGAAGGAAAATCTGCTAAATGTAAACAAAGGTATTTTCCCTACCAAGAGCTTAGCTGTCTTCCTTAAAAGGGCTCTAGTTTCCATGGTATTGCCTGCTTTGGAACAGATAGTGGATTTTGCATGGGCCAGCATGTAAAAAAAAAAAAAACAAATCAGCAAAATGCTGGTCTAAACCTGGGGCAGTGAGGTTTAGACCAGTATTAAAAAGAGGTGACCTGACACAAACCAGCCTACCATACAGTATTTTGCTTAAGAACTATGTACTCTATATAATTTTCAAGCTATCTGAGCTAAGAACCATTTATTGTGAAAAGGAACTACAACAGGAGAAGTGGAGCATCCTTTTTTACTTCTATGTCTTTCTTCCATCCCTTGTAAGCTTCATTTACACACATGGTGAAGAATCTATTAAGTTCACTTAGTCATCAGTGCAAATCCCCATCAAATATTACATTACTAACAGTGACTCATAGCTTCAGGAAGTAGAGCTTACTGAAAAATAGAAACGGGCATCTAAGATTCTGCTGTTGCTGCCACTTGAGGTTATCTTAGGTTGCTCCCTATTCATTAGATGTATAATGATTCCAAGTAGGTGGAGTGGCACTTTGCCGCTTTACCTGCTCACCTGTGCCATTTCCCAAAGTTAATCCTGAATATTCTGGCTCAGCCAATAAAAATAATTGGCAGGAGTCTGAGTCTGTGTCACTTTGGTAAACTATCAAAAGGTGAGATTTTATTCTATGCCGCTCCTTATTCTGCCTCCAGAGGGAAGATCTAGAATGGGGTAGGCAATATAGGACACACACACAACCCCCACAAGCTGGATTGCAACGCCTATCATTGCTTATCATTATCTGTGTTGGCTAGGGCTGGCACGAGTTGCAGCCCAATAACTTTTCAAGGGCTATAAACTATTCACCCAGTGGGGCCCAGAAGTAGTCTAGGTGGGCACAGGTTTTACATGATAATAATCCACTCTCCTGCAAGTCCCATGTCACCCTGCCAATATGCAGTGCATGTTTCCTAGATATTATCTTTCTTTTCTACAGCTACCATAGCAGTAAAGTTTCTACTCAATACCATTACCACAGTTTTCAATTACTAATACAGTACAATGGTTTTGGTTTTGTTTATCCCAACAATGCTGTGATTTTGAAATGTGATTTCAATGGTTTTAAAATGTAACATAAGGGATAAATACAATAACAGTATTAAAAATAGTCAAACCTGTTCTATCTTCGGAGGCAAAAGTATTGGAACTGAGGCTATCATTCTTTGAGCACATTGTGAGAAGAGAAGATTCTCTGGAAAAGACAGTAATGCTAGGAAAAATTGAAGACAGCAGGAAAAGAGGAAGACCGAGTATGAGATGGAGTGACTCCCTAAGGAACCACAGTCTTGAGTTTACAAGAGCCGTGCAGGGCTGTTGACAACAGGACGTTTTGGAGGTTATTTATTCATAGGGTTCACATAAGCCAAGGGTGATTTGAAAGCATGTAACAATAACAAAAAAAAGAGTGCCAGTGAGCATATAAATGTCATTCTCAGGAAAACATGACTTCAAACTTCTATGATGGAGCCCAGGTTCTTTGATAATTAGTGAGACATAAGGTATGGAATGTTGAAATCCGCTCATCTAGAAGAAGTGTGTTGAATGTCAGCTCTCTTCTATTTTGGTTAGTTGAAGAACAGGCCCAGCAGCTGTGAATGGTGTCTTAGCTGAGCCAACCCAGTGCTGCCTGTTCCTACATCCCTGAAGTTCTGCCACATAAAATAAGTCTTTCTTTCTATTATGCGTAGAGTCACAGGAAGCAAATCTAGCTCCAGGGCTCGCCAGGGCTTCTGAACTCAATGCACTCAAAATAGAATGGACTGTCAAAGGATGTTGGTGTGATCTTAAGGATTACAGTCCTACACATTTACCTGGGAGCAAGTTTCATTGAACTCAACAGCTTTGAGTAGACATGCACAGGATTGGGCTGTAAATCTTCATGGAGAACATGTACATAGAGACCATTAGCTTTGCATGAACAATACGCAACAATAAATCCAGTGGAGCATTGCACTTGCGAATCGCCTTTGTTTATCCTAATCAATTACTAAGGCTCGATGTTCTGTACAAGTATGTTAAGTGTGCCAGTGGATCAGCTGAAGACTTGCAAGCCAACAGACATGACTAGTGGGTTTGCTGGAGAGGAGGAACCTTGTAGTAAACCCAAGTGCTCCACATGGCCCAAGGGATAGTCTGAAGTCTGTTACAGTGCACAAACTAAGAAGCTTCAGCCCTATAAGCTCTCTGGTTGGAATTTGGGACGTAAGCCACTCTGAGCTCTTTGTA